ATCTTTAAGGGGAGAGCCTACTAACCTAAGAATAAGAATTTTCTTTTTATAAATATAATCGAAATCTAACTAAAACTTTTGAAAAATTTGATACATAGAATAAATTAATTCTACTCTTAATAGACAAAATAATTAAATAATAATGTGTATTTGAGAAAATATCAGCAAAATCCTTATTGGAAGCTCTGCCACCCAGAAGTTCATTAATAAAAACAAGTCAATTTTAATGTACATTAAAAAATTTTTGTTTATTATTTTGCTCTGTTTATGAAACAAGCATTATATTTTATCTTAAGTAAAAAATCAAAAACAATTTTTAATATGAATCATAACATATTATCGTTAGAGAGAGCACGCTCAACCACATAATAAAAGACTACTTTCACAAATATTAACAAAACCTAATTAAAACATTTGAAAATATTTGATATATATGTTTAGAATAAATTAATTCTACTCTTAATAAGCAAAATAATTAAATAATAATGAGTATTTGTGAAAATAACATCTAAATCCTCATATTCGAAGCTCTGCCACCCAGAAGCTCAACCACACAATACAAGACTTCTTTCACAAATTTTATCAAAACCTGATTAAAACATTTTAAGAAGCTTAGAACATTTAAGGAAAATAACTAAGTCTACAGTTAAAAAACTAAATAATAATGTGTGTTATTAAAAATATCAAAAAAATCCGTTCACTCAAAGCTGCCACCCGGAAGTTTATTTACAAAAACAAAGCAATTTAAACACTGTAACAAATTCTTTTATCCGTAATTTGCCTTATTCGTTATACAGGCATTATGCTTAATTAATATCTAATGCAAAAAACCAGAACTGTTTCTTATATGAATCAAAACAAACATCTCTAAGGAGAGAGCACACTCTCACCCGCAGAACAAAAGACTTTTTTAAACAATTATCAAAACCTAACTAAATTATTTTAATAGATTTAAGACATTTCAAAAAATAAATAAATTCTACTGTTAATAAACAAAAGAATTAAATAATAATGTGTATTAGCAAAAATATCAGAAAAATCCATTCATTCAAAGCAATTTAAACACACTGAAACATTCTCTTTATCATTATTTGAACCTATCTATAATACAGGCATTATACTTAATTAAAATCTGACGTAAAAAAACAACAACTATTTCTAATTTGATTCAAAAGAAACACTATTTTTAATGAGAAAGCACTCACCCACAGAACGTACGATTTTCTTTACACAATTATCAAAACCTTACTAAAATATATTATTATTATTGGGACATGCATAAAAATAAATTAATTCTACTTTTAGTAGATATAAGAATAAAATAATAACGTGTATTCCTAAAAATGTCAGCAAGATATTAAAGTTTCAATTCTGCCACCCAGAAGATAATAATCATAAAACAAAGCTATTTCATCATATTTTAAAAAAAAATTGACAATTATTCTGACTTATTTATGAAGCAGACATCACAGTTAATCTAATTTACTAAGATCTAAACAAAAAACATCAACAATAATATACAGTATGTATCATAATAAACAACATCTGCAAAATGAAACAGAACTTACTCACCACCCATAAAAATTTGAATTTTTTTCGTATAAAGACTGTCATAACTTAGCCAAAACTTACTACAAAGTTTATTAGAACTGTATTCTACACGAAAATCGACCGTTAATACTTCAATAATTTAAGGAAAATATAAAATTTGCTAATTTATTACAAAATGACATCAAAATCCCATAGACTCATATTAGAGTGCTCGCCACCCAATTGATCGTAAACAAAGATAGTGCCGTCACGCGCCCGTGCCCCGTAGAACAGAACNTACAGTTTATTAGAACTCTATTCTACACGAAAATCGACCTTTTATACTTCAAAAATTTAAGGAAAATATAAAATTTGCTACTTTATTACAAAATGACATCAAATTCCCATAGACTTACATTAGAGTGCTCGCCACCCAATTGATTGTAAACAAAGATCGTGACGTCACGCGCCCGTAGAACAGAACTCTTTTCCTACGGCAACACTAGTGTCTCAATGTAGAGTCGATTGGAAAACGGCTCTCTATGGAAATCCTATGTTAAGAGCTTACGCATGCGCTCTGGCTTGTAAATTTTGGCGACAAAAGCTTGGCTTTTAAAATAGGGAGTGAGGGAAAGATATGGAAAACATGTGAAATTACAGATTCCTTTAATTTTTGGCTCCCTTTGTTGTTCTATGTTAGCCCTAACAGATTCTCTTCAATTTCGGCTCATCGTTGTCTTAACTAATTTCGCTTTCGTTCTTAGTATTAAATATATCTTAATAGTATTAAAATTTATAAGTATTATAGAAGGAAATTACTAAATAATCAATAGTAATAAATTTTCTTATCTCTATATTTATTATGGATTTTTCGGATCCCACTGTCTTGCAAGTGTTTGTGTTTTTTAAATTTTTAAAATACACATCCACCAGCTATCAAGTACTAAATTGTTTTCCCCCTTATTTCTTATATATTTTTTTTAATTCATTATTTTCTATTTAGTTGCTATTTATTACACGCTAATTATTTATCTTGGAGTGATGTTTGCAATGTAATCTTGTCTGAAGAATGTTTAATCTAGATTTAAAAAATGATATCCAACAGCTGCGAACATTAAATTGTTTTCGACTTATGTTAGTAATTTTTTAAGTTCATCATTTTCTATTTAATTATTATATGTTATTTATTTATCATGTGGATCAGTGTTGCCAGATTGGGCTACTTTTATTGAAACTCAAAAAAATTAAATCCAAAGTCTTTTACCTGATGAATGAAAATAGTTGTTGTGAATGACAATGAGTTTCCAAAAAATATCGTACTGTTAAATGCTTTTTAGTGAATTCATTTCACTTTTGTAAATCACGATCTATTCACAGTTGCACGAAAAATAGGAAAATTTTTATATCTCTCTAGAGCAGGGATGGGCAAACTCCGGTCCGCGGATATAATTTTAATTTGCCGATCAGTGGCAATATACATAAACAACATACATCCATTTTCTTGTCAACTATTTAAAATTATTTCTGTTTTTCCTTTTTTAACAAAGTACTGATAACCTTTTTACTTTCTCTATTTTTGCTCTACAAAACATAAATTGATGGAAATAGTTAGCACAGACGGCTTCAATTGGTAAAATGTTGAAAGCAGAAGTTCTTCATAGAATAGTCTTAGATTGGCTCTAACCAGCGTTTGTCTTTCTCGAGGAATCTAATATAGGTAAATTGTACTTGACATTTGGCAGACTACGCATTTCAAGATCCAACGAGCGGACAATCTAACAATCATCTGGAGCAGTTGTTTCTAAATATGCCAAAGTTTTACAAGTCATTACCAAAAGCTAGTTTCCAAAATTTAATATTTCATGCCCAGAAAATCAGCTCTATGTTTGCTTAATCTTATACATGTGAACTAACAGAAAAGCATTTAGCCTTGTTCCGTAAAATAGGCACATCTCGCTTCGAACCTTAATATAAGGAACTATTAAAAACGAAATCGCAATTTCATTCATCTCACTAAATATTTAAATTAAAACTTGTATATCGCTTTTTTTTTAAATTTTGAAAGTTTTATATGTCCCACCAAACATTTTTTTTCTCGATTAAGGTCCTCTTAGTTAGTTCCCATTTATGAAATGATTTTCTATACAAATGCATCATTTCATTAATGGGAGCTTTAAACCCCTCCACCACGATAAGGTGGGACCTTTTTGGAGGGGCCCCCCACCTGAAATACATGAATATTAATCTACAATAAATTACAGAAAAAAACAAATCAAACACAAGGTCCGGCTATTAATTTCCAGGACTGACGTAACTGTAGGAGAACGAAAAGCCGGAAGATGGCGCTAATGATTGCATATTGAAGAGTGTTTGTCAGACTATGAATTTCAATGAACAAGGTTCGAGTAAGAGATCAAGAGTTCGAAAAACCTCTGAAAGAGGGAGTTCGAACATTTAAAAATAATTCAAAGACAGAATTTGCATAGTATTAATTTTGAGTGTGTAAGTACCCTCATTATGCAAGTGTTACTTCGTGTATATATATAACAAATCAAGATTGGATTTGGAGTTTTGTTTCGTTTGATTTTCATGACTGTATGTTATTGAATTCGTTACCTCATGTTATGGAGAGGATTGTTTTCCTTTATGATGTTTAAGTTAAGTTATGACTTTTCCTGCTTAATAAATTTTCTTGTTAGTTGAAAGTTGACTTTTTCATTATGCTTACTAAGCAATTTCCACAAAGCACTAAACTCTGCCAGCAGTGTTTTCTTGCGCACGTGCAGCGCAATCGGCACCATACTGAAGTAAGTGGTTCTCGTGGAAAGGCGCATTAAAACGTAGCTCTTAAATTCCTGTTGTCGAAGTGAAAATGGAGCAAGAATAAACATTAAATGTTGCTTCAAATTGGGCAAGACAGCTGCGGAAACCTACAAATTGTTAAAACAAGTTTACGGCGCGGAAGCATCATGTCGCTCAAGAACTTTTGAATGGTTTAAACGATTTCAGGACAGAGCGAAAGCGTGGAAGATGATCCACACACAAGTCGGTCGCAGTTGTTACGCACGCCGGAAGCAATTGAAAAAGTTCGCTTCCGAACATTGCACTACCTGGAAGGCGATTCTTAGCCCTGCATGGTGTCGTTGAGATGCAGCATCCACCATACTCTCAAGACCTAGCACCCGCAGACTGTTTTCTAAGCTGAAAAATTTGCTGAAGGGGACAAGATTTAAAGATGTCGAAGCCATCAAGAAGATTGTTACGCCACTATTAAAGAGCATTCCAAAAGAGGACTTTAAAACTTCTTTCCGAAATTTGTACAGCCGAGCACAGACGTGCATTACGGCTGGTGGGGATTACTTCAAATAATATTAAATGGCTATGTGTTTAATTTTATTTTCTTCTGAGTTATTCCATGAGTCCTGGAAATTAATAGCCGGACCTTGTATTAATGGATGTTAAAAAATTTTTTAAAAATTTGTTGCGAATTAGGTAACTTCTCACCCGAATTATGGTAAACACTACTTCCTGTGACGGGTCAAGGCTGTTCGTCTCCTGTCATATCCAGGTGAAGGCTAATTCATATGGCTCCTGAAGAAGGCGCTTACAGGCGACCTGAAGTACTGCTGGGTGAGGAGAAATCTGAAAGAAAACACAGATTGTAGAAAATGCTAAGGCTGTTCCCGCACACGATGAAGAGCAAGAGAAAGAAAGCTACTTACATTTGAACGAAAGTGCCGAGTTGATATCTCGGGTAACTGGGTAAGACTTCAAATGGATGCTTCAGAACAAACTTTTTTCCACAATAGCAATTCTAACTTTGGAACATCCTCTCGCCACCTGGAACAGTGCTGCTGCTGGTTTGGTGCTTAACCTGGAAAAAAACCATACAGTAATGAGTAAACAGCAAAAGCAACTCTCATCCTCGCTTTAAGCGACAGACCGCTACTCACTTTGGCAGGTCGAGGAAGGCGCTTGTCTCCTACAGGCGTTCCGAAAACCAGATTCCTACGAGGTCGTGCTGACCTGAAGTACTGCTGGGTGAGGAGAAATCTGGAAGAAAACACAGATTGTAGAAAATGCTAAGGCTGTTCCCGTACACGATGAAGAGCAAGAGAAAGAAAGCTATTTACATTTGAACGAAAGTGCCGAGGTGATATCTCGGGTAACTGGGTAAGACTTCAAACGGGTGCTTCAGATCAAACTTTTTCCCACAATAGCAATTCTAACTTTGGAACATCCTCTCGCCACCTGGAACAGTGCTGCTGCTGGTTTGGTGCTTAATCTGAAAAAAAAAAAACATACAGTAAGGAGTAAACAGCAAAAGCAACTCTCATCCTCGCCTTAAGCGACAGACCGCTACTCACTTTTGCAGGTCGAGGAAGGCGCTTGTCTTCTACAGGCGTTCCGAAAACCAGATTCCT